AACTATGTATAAAAATGGTAATAGCTCCATCAAGTTGAAGGGCGGTACTTCTGCCAGATTTAATATTTGTAGAGGTAGCCGTCAAGGATGCCCCATCTCAGCCGATTTATTTCTTTTAGTGAGTCAAATTCTGGCCTATCACATACATTCTAGTCCTCTTAAAGGTGTAACAGTAGCTGGTAGAAGCTTAATACTAACACAACTGGCTGACGACACAACCTTATTTTTAAGAGATCAATCTCAAATTTCTGTGGCAATCAATGTAATAAATACATTTTTCAATGTATCCGGCCTCCATTTAAATATTAAAAAATGCGAACTCATGGCAATTAAAAATGGTTCTGAATGTGAATTTGAGAATATAACAGTCCAAAATGAAGTTACTTACCTAGGGGTAATTATCACAAAAAATCAACATGAAAGATGTTCAAGAAACTTTAATCCTTTAATTAAAAATACTCAGAAGAAGCTTAATCAATGGCTCATAAGAGACCTCTCTATAAGAGGTCGCATTTTGATTAGCAAAGCTGAGGGTATCTCCCGGCTGACTTATGCGGCCCTGGCTCTAGATCTTAATAGTAAAGTGTGTAGGGATGCACCGATGGATCGGCATTTGATCGTAATCGGCCGATGGCGCCCCTATCGGTTTTGATCGGGGTTTTCAAAATAGATCAAAGCAGACCGATCAGGTAGGGCTGTCACGGTAACCAGTGTAACGGTAAACCCCGGTAAAAAAAAAAATAGTTGACAATAATAATAACCGTCTTGTTTTTTAAAAAACTATATTATCTTGGTGGGTTTACCGTGGCTGCGGTGTAGGCGCAGTGACCCTTACCAGCCACCGTATCATCTGCTGAAGTTGCGCGCTTCGTTGTTTACAACCAAAACTTTCTTGAAGCTAAAGCTGAAATAATGGCCAAAGGAGGAGACGGCAGTGCTCAGGAGGACATTTTTTATCCCTCAAAGAAGACAAAGTTGGAAGTACGGGCATATTTTAGATATCTGAAGAATGCCGAGGGAGTTTATAGAAGATGGCTATCCTGTTTGCAGCACGTGCAGAAAAAGTGTCTGTGAAAGTAAGAAAGTAAAGTTTATATAGCGCCTTTCACAGATATAAATCACAAAGCGCTGAAAGGCAGCAACCAGGGTCCGAAATTAACACTCGCCACTCGCCAAATGCGAGTAAATTGCTCCATTTGGCGAGTAAATTTTTGAGCTCTACCTGCCACCTGGCGAGTAAATATTTGCACCAAATTAGTTATGTTTATCAGTCATCTTCCATGGATTTCTGATACTCCTCCCGCCTGCATGCAGCGTACACAAACGTACGTGAAACGTGAGCGCCGCATCCAACGTCATTTCCACCTATCCCATTCAATCAGTTTATCAAGTTAGCAGTTAGCTTCGTGTTAAAACTAGCGGTGAAATGTGGCGGTTTTTAACTGGAGTCAGCCAGCCTTCCAAAAGAAAACTCGTCGAACTGGAAGAAAAACCACCAGGACCAGTGGCAACCGGAAGATTTTGTGAAAAGTGGCGAACTGGAGGTGGCGGAGTCGTGAGACAATGGCTACATTATGATGGCCACGTAGCGTTGCTGCCTTTCACAGACAACTGTCCCTCGGCATTCTTCAAATATCCAAAAAAATGCCCATACTTCCTACATTGTCTTCTTTGAGGGATAATAAATGTCCCAAGTGCTGCCGTCTCCTCTGGCCATTATTTCAGCTTTAGCTTAAAGAAAGTTTTGGTCATAAACAAAAAAGTGCGCATGTGCCGCCGGCAACTACAGCTGATACGGTGGCTGGTAAGGGTCACCGCACCTACACCGCAGCCACGGTAATCCACCGAGATAATATTTTTTTTAAAACAAGACGGTTATTATTATTGTCAACTTTTTTACCGGGGTTTACTGCTACACCGGTTACCGTGACAACCCTAGCCCTGACACACTTTCAGATATTCTCATGGTGCAGCTGTGTTCTCCAGAGATCAAGGACTATGACCCAAATGAGGCTGTAATGCTTTGGCACAAAGACGGTGTCAGAAGCAGGAGGCCAGACTTCATGGACAGAGAAAACAAGGAGTCTGACTAGATTTCAGTGAAAGAGTTCATAAAAACATCTCTAAAAATAAATAAATAAATGGTAAAAATGACAAAAGAGTTGTTTTCCTTATTAATTGATGTTTTAATTATTTTGCCACTCTGTTTGGAATCAACATAATATAGAATAACATGCTTTAGGTAGATCTAAATCATTTAGAATTTTGGCCGGTAAAAGATATGCTTGGCCGGTAGATTTTCATCATCTACCGGCCAACTTGGCCGGTGAGTAAAAAATTTAATTTCGGACCCTGGCAGCAACGCTTCAAATCTCATGACACATCTGCGTGACCATCACCCACAACACTACAGTCAACGCAAGGCAAGCTAACGTTAGCGTTTTAGCTAAAATGCGTGATCCGAGGATTTGGGTTGAGGGAGAATGCAACGAGTCACTATATAAAGCAGCCGCAGCGCCGCTACCTGCATATAAACCGTGTCACGGACACCGCCATACTGAAATGATGCTATGCATTACGGGGCTCCCAGGGGCAGATAAGAGTTGGTCTCTCTCCGAGAATAATTATGAATTTAACAGTGATTACTGCCTGATGACATTTTCCCACATCTGCAAAGCTCACTGGAAGGACACAAACCGAGAACAATATTTTCCTGATATAGGGTTTATTACTCAAGTAAGAGTAAAAAAGTATCTGATTAGAAGGCTACTTGAGTACTGAGTATCATCTGAACTAATATTTTTAAAATGATGACATCAAACAGACAAAAAATAAGAAGTTATGGGCAAATATTGGTATTTTAAAGACTAAAGGGAAAAAATGTAAACAACATAATTACAAAATAACACATTTTAGGCAAAATTTAGACACAAACTGAGGACAATATTTCCTGACATACAGGGTTTATTTAATTGTGTGAAAATGTAGCACGTTTAAAAAAAATACCGTGATAATACCGAAAACCGTGGTAATTTTGGTCACAATAACCGTGAGGTTAAATTTTCACACCGTGACAACCTTAATACAGACCATTTTAGATTAAGTTATATTTCCTTTATTCCCAGATTATGTAGTTTGTAGCACTCATTATAATGTTGTAGAAAATTTCTGGCCAATCCACGTGATCGGTATCGGTGATCAGCATTCTTTGATATCGGTATCGGTGATCGGCAGCAAAAAACCTGATCGGTGCATCCCTAAAAGTGTGTAAGGAGATTGATCGGTTATTACTTGACGTTGTTTGGAAAAACAAGACCCACTTTCTTAAAAAATCCTCCCTAATGAATGTGCTTGAAAGTGGTGGTTTGAACTTGCTTCACTTTTCTTTATTGAATAATACTTTTTTAAAATTAACTGGATTCGTCAGTTTTTCAAGTCTCCTACTTCTATCTGGCATATAATACCCAATCACATTTTATCCCAACTTGGTGGTTTAAAGTTTTTCTTGATTTGCAACTATAATGTCGAAAAGCTCCCCGTTAAGTTATCAGCCTTCCATCGCCAGGCCTTCCTCTCATGGACACTCATGTACAAGCACAATTTCTCACCTCACCGCGACTTCATCTGGAATAATAAGGACATTCTTTATAAACACAAGTCTCTGTTTTTCAACTCATGGTTCCAGAATAACATAATTTTAGTAGACCAACTCTTTAATGCAGAAGGTCAGTTACTTTCCTATGGTGAGTTTTTACAACAGTATAATATTCCGATTACGCCGGGCGAATACGCAAAGGTTTTTGGAGCCATTTCTCCAGGAGTGTGTATGTTATTCAATCAGAGACCTAGATTAGATTATAGTCAGTTCTCTCCTGTTTTTCCTCCAGTTCTGTCCCCAATCAGTGAAGTTTGTTTTAATTACTCTCCTAATAATAAAAACAAAGCAATTAGAACTCTCTTTCTTAAAGACATGACATCTCTTCCATGTGCCGTATTATACTGGAATAGATTTGTGGATGACTTGACATGGAGGAAGGTTTGGCTTCTACCCGATCAATTTCTGATCACTAACAAGGTTAAAGAAACTTCCTTTAAACTATTACATAGATTCTACCCCTCTAAATGTTATTTTAAAAAATTTAAATCAGACCTGGATGTACTGTATCTTGTACAATTTGTGAAGATCTTCCAGAAACAACAACTCATCTTTTTTGGCTGTGTACTCATTCCAAACGGTTTTGGCAGTGTTTCTGTGACATCATCTGCTGTAAATTCTCTGTCAATTTTAACATTTATTGGAAGCAGGTTTTGTTTGTCCTTCACCAGAATATTTTTAATAACTATAAAATTTTTTATTAATCTGTTATTTCTCTTGGCCAAATTTCATATCCATAAAAATAAATTTCTTAAAAGCAAACCCAACTTTAACTGTTTCTTAGTGGAGGTCAAGCATTATATGGACTCTATCCGGTTCTCACAAAACCAGAAGGCTGTAAAGACTACTCAAATATGTACCAGCTTTAAGATAATCTGATGCTGATTTATTACTATCTCTGTGTTGATGTTCTCTCTAGATATATGCTACTGTAATCGGTATTTTTCTGTACACCCATCTTTTTGATATCCCCCTGGCACTTTGTTTACATTTTTGTGCACTTCTCACTTTTCTTATACGTTGTCAACTGTGAGCTTGTAAACTTATTGTCACATTGTATATTCTATTTTTGTTAATAAAGGTTCATAAAAAAATTAACTCCAAAATATCTAAACTGGAGTACTTCACTTGCCAAGAGTGATTACAGCATCCACTTTGACTCTGGGAGGTTGAATCAGTCTTTATTTCTTTATAGAATTTGTTCTACACTTCACATCACACAGGGGCCTTTACGTCACCTTTATTTACCATAAATGGCTAAAACTGGTCCTTTTCTGCCACAATAATCACGTAATTTATGCTAATCCTAAAGCTCTTCCCCTCGGTACCCGCTGGTGTTTCTTACCTGCTGTGTGTGAGCTGCTCTGTGGTTTCCAGCTCATATCCGACAGTCGGCGCTGGCCACCGAGCCCTTCCTCGAACTGGGCCATGGCTTCTTCAACCTTCCTGATTTTTTCTCTAGCAATAGCTACTTGCTTGGTGACAAACTCCATCAGAGACTCTCCTGAATACATGTTTAATATTCACCTCACAAGGCTAAACAACAATAAACTAACGTTGCTAACGGTCTTCTTTTTCAGTTCCTTCCTCTTGTCCACGAGGCTGAAGTTATCTTCCGTTCCCAACTATTCGGGAAACGGCTAAAAGGGGCAATTTTGTTTGTAAACAGGAACGCCCCCTGTTAGCAGAGTGTCGTTTCACGCAGCGGTCGGTCCAAATATCCCAAGCGGAGTCCCAGATTCAAAGGTACGGAATAAACGATAGATACAGAGCTTCTTGTTTCAACGGGCTTTCACTGGCGCTAGCAACTTTGCAAACACAATGCTTCCCTTTTATGGAGTAAGGTCTAGCTGCAGACGAAGCCCCGACAAACCACGCCCCCATGTGCCTGTTGTGCTCCTCCGAGCTCCCCTGGTGGTCAGAAAAGGGAAATATCTCAATTACGGCAGCCCTCCCAGCGGACGGGGAGAGCTTAAACCTGGGTCGGATCCAGGGTGCAGCATCCCGCTGTCAGCTCCAGCAGAGGAGATTGGGGTTTGATTCATTTCTCACACCTTTCAATCGCGAACAATACAATTGAAATAATACGTTTATACAGAAATAGTAACAATGTAATTAAACAGACAGGACTCCAGTTTTAAATATGAATGTATGGATTTTTTTTTCTTGCATACACACTTTATGGCTATCCCCAGTGGGATTATAAAACACGACACCACCAACAAATAATCAGTTGCCGGACAATAGGCACAACATACCTATGCTCATTTAAGTTAGCAGGTGAGTAATGAATGTGCAAGTGTTTATTTTAAATGCAATAAAATAAAATATCAGAAAAATTAATTAGTGGTGATCGTTTTAATTAACCCTTAAGCCCACTAGCCCCCATTTTTGGGAGCATGCCTTCTACAGCAACATTTAACTTTCAACCATTTGTTATTACAGGCACTAACAGTGGGTCTAAGTTCATACGAGTGAGTAGTTAATATTTATGTTACTATTAATGATTTTTTATTGCTTCTTTACAGTGAAAAGCTGCTGATGTGTTATTTTTAGGCATATTTTCATGTCTATATATGTATTTCATATATTCTGTTAACAGGAATAATTGCTGGCCCTTTGACACAAAATGTATTATTTAGAAATTACTAAAATATTTTGAATTGAGTAAACAATTCACAAGACTAGTAAACTGATATTGACCATACACTAATCTTTAAAAATTATGCTGTAAACACAAAAGTAGAAAAGTTTTGCTTTAGAAAAAAAGTTCAGACAAATGAAATAACCAGCAACAGCTTTTATTGGCCTTACAAATACGTTCCAAAAAAAATGTCAACACAATGCTACAGCCTCTTCAAAAAATCAGAAGAGTCCAGAGCTTTTCTGAATTTCTCCGTGTATATGAGCAGTTTCTGTTTTGCCTCCTTGCTCATGTTTTTTTCCATGGCATAGGACATCAGCTGCCTCTCACTAATGAGACAAAGACAAATAGCAATTAGTAAAAATGGCATTTACACCTAGAGGCTGTCATAAACAATGTGAAAACAATACATATAGGCATTAGCACTGTTCTTGTGTTTGTAGAATACCTCCAGTCGTACTGCAGCCCACTGCTGTACATTTCTGTGGCTTTGTCTGGTCAACATTCATGGACAGCTGAAAGCACATGGATGGTTGCCTGAGTAATGAGGTGAACAAAAGGACATCTTTCATGTAGACATTAGTCTGTCAGGTAACAAGATATTAACCATGAGTTATAGACTGACAACAGTAATGCTACAAAATATTTTCATGTGATACATAAACATTTTCAGAATGTACCTCTGGCAGAAGCACATCCATAATGAATGCCACTTGATTGTGACATCCAGCAGTTCATTGCTGGTATGGACTCATGTGGTCGGTTCTGGCAAATGGTGAAAAGATTCTGGAAGCAGTTCCTTCCTGTATTTACAAATACAGGACAGAAAGTTACAAGGAAGTGCTTCCAGAATCTTTTCACCACTACCTGGAGACCTGCAGGAAGCAACCGACGAGAAGACGAAGAAGCCACTATTTTCCAGTGGGAATGGTGGCTTCTTGCCATTCAAGGTGTGTACACCAAAACACCAAAAACCAATTGTGTGTGTGTGTGTGTGTGTGTGTGTGTGTGTGTGTGTGTGTGTGTGTGTGTGTGTGTGTGTGTGTGTGTGTGTGTGTGTGTGTGTGTGTGTGTTTACAGAACACTGTATTATGGAACCAAATTGTTCCACTATAAAGATGGCCCTTACGTTGAACATTGGTGAATGTAGTTCCTGTAGAGGTGATGCCAGAATTGTCATTAAGAGCAAACCTGTCTACTCTGAAACAGTAGTTAGTGTATTTCTGAAATTATTAAGAATCTGTTTTGTTTTTCACGCATATTGACCAATGATATTCATCTTATTAATAACTACAAAGCATTTCACTATGATAATGAAAATTAACACCATACAAATTTTATTTGTCAGTGCGCTCCAGGGCAGCTGTAGCTACATTTTAGCTACTCACCACCAGGGTGTGAATGTGTATGTGGGCGGGTAAATTACTGATTGTGTTGTAAGGTGCCTTGGGAGGTTCCAGGACTGTAGACGGGCCCGGATGTAGGCATGGGCTAGGAGGAGCAATGCCCCCCTAAAAATAGTGACTGCCCTCCCAAATGCGATGACATGTAGAAATCCCAAATTTGAAAATCTCTCTCTCTCTCTCTCTCTCTCTCTCTCTCTCTCTCTCTCTCTCTCTCTCTCTCTCTCTCTCTCTCTCTCTCACTCACTCACTCACTCACTCACTCACTCACTCACTCAAAGTAGCTGCTGATTGGTAGATGCATAGGGAGTGTGTGGCCAGCCACTGCACTTCGTTCTCTGTGTCTCACTCGCTTCACATGCCTCAGACAGCCAGCAGCAGAACACAAAGACGCATCGTCATTATCTGAGCTCAGCCACTGGTTGAAGTTTTCTTCTTCTGTCGGTCACTGGAATTATTTGGTACTCTTTCTCAAGGTTTTAGTTTGCCTCGTTCTCTTATTTAAATTGTTTTTGAAGTGAACCGAGTCGACAATGCGCAGATTTCTGGTTTCTAAACCGAGCAACAGTGCTAAGGCACTAGCGGATGAAGCCGGCTCGTTGGCTGCTGCTTCTCAACCATCGACATAAATATATGGACAATGGGTTTCCATAGACTCCAATAACAAGTTTTTCTGCTAAAATGGGAGGTGGCCACCACCGCCATTTTGACCGTGTCACAGGTTCCGTCAAGCCCAGACAATTCCATAAAAGGGAAGAGAGGAGGAGCTGAGGGTGGGGCTGTAAGGCTGGGATCAACTGACGACACCCGGTCGAAATAGCTACACAGTGGTGGTTCTACATGGAATTACTCCCCGGGCGAGGCCCCCTTTGAGCGCCCCCCCAACCGCCCTCACCACCACCACCACACCACCCCACCTGCACGAACACACACGTTTTCTACAAACAGGCATGTTTTATTAGAACGACTATTGAACATTCATTTTTCTAAGTTGCACATATTTACATAAATTTCTATGAAGTTGTCAGAATGTAAAGCACTATGCATTATATACTGTATCAAAATATATAGAATCAAATATACAAAAACAACTAAACTAACTAAATATTAAGAATATATGCACATAATATATAATAAATATTCTAAATAGCAAAAATATTTCACACATAACAAACTAAAGATAATCACTACAGCACTGCACTTAGAACAGAAAACACAAACTAAAATTAAAACCTAACCTTGATGCAAAGTCATCAATAATGTCATCATATGAAATCTGCTCCCCTACTGAGTGATTGATACGAATCAGAGCCAGGTTAGTGAGCCGCCCCTGAAACATAGCTGACCTCAGGTACGACGATCAAGTTTTGAAAAGCTCCTCTCAGCTTGAGCCACAGTGACTGGCAGAGCAGTCCAAAAGTTGGGGTAGATCTCCAATAGATCTTTATCATGATCCATAATATTTTAGAATTGCCTCTGAAATTGTAATTTAAACTGACATAAAAAAAACTGTAGACTACCAAAAATGCCAACTTTTACAGAACAAACCAGGTAAAAAATAATCAGTGCAGCCATCTGCAATAAATAAACAGGATAGTTAGTGGTGACTGGGGAGTTTTCTTCTGCTTGTAGAGTTGTTTTATTTATTATTACGTGAACTTGATCAACATGTGTTTGTTGTTGTTCAGGCAGGCCACAGGCTGCAGCGAGCATTTAACAAATCCTAGTTTGAATCAGTAAAAAACGATCCAAGGAATTTATTCGAACCATTTGAATATTCGTTTCAATATTTCAGCCCTATTAGCTCTGTTAGCAACTAGTTGACCGAATTTAACCGTTAAAATCTCGGTTAACTGGTTCAAAAAATTGAAAACATTCATCATGAGAGCGTACATACCTTTATTTTTCTCCTCTTTTTTTCTTTTTTATTCCTGAATCGGGCACCTGTTGGTTTTAGCCTTTTTATGTTCATCTCTTCTGTTTGGCTCTTGACTCAATAAGTTTCCTTTAGTCAGGACTAAACAATTTGTCCTTGATGGGGGGTGACCACAAAATCGTTTTTTTTTTCCTTTTTTTATTCGGCCATTTCACACAATTCAGAAACACCTGAAAGAATGATAGGCCTGTGTTTATGATATTATGAATGAAATGTGGAAGAACATCAAGATGTGATCGACTTTAGCCATGTTGATAGTTGATTCAGCTCCTACCCGCTCATTTCATTTGGACCCACCCAGAGGTGAATTCCCCCGCCGCACCCCTCCCCAACCTCTTCTTCATACACACACGGCGCACGGAGCGCCTGCAGCTGCAGGGGGCGCCAACGTGCTGTTTCCAATCCAGACACGGTCATATGACAGATAATAGAAAACCTCGGTGCGGCGCAGATTTCCTTTTTTTTTTTTTTTTTACTCAGCGCTTGTGCGCCCTTTTTGTGTCATGAAAAAATGCCGCCCCGGGCAACTGCCCTGTCTGCCCGTGCCTAAAACCGCTACTGTAGCTACAAACTAAACAGAAGCTAACCCAAAGCTAATGCGGAGGTGGGAGCTAAGCTAACGGCGGTAGCAACCTAGCTACAACCGGAGATAACTGTGCACAACACCAGAGCTTCTGAGTCAGAGATACGCCGGGCTTACCGCTGGGTAAAACTGGGTGGAACACAGAGGTCCGGAGACCTCCACAAGCCGGCAGCCGCACAGCAGACAAGCGCTGCTGCGATCTGAGATGCGCAGAGCTGCCGCTGGGCAGAGTCGGGTGGAAAGGTTTCCATCCCAGACCTCCACAGCCGGCAGCCGCACAGCACACAGAAGCCGCGATCAGACAGAGATGTGCCGGGCTGCGGGGATAAGTGGCGTATTTTGGCGGTTTTGGCTTGCCATAAAACCAGCCGTCAGCCTGCCGCAGCACACAGAAGCCGCGATCAGACTGATGAGCCGAGCTGCTGGGAGAACCAGCCGTCAGCCCGCGCAGCTAACAAAAGCCACGATCAGACAGAGATGGACCGGGCTGCGGGGAGAAACAGCCGACATTCCGTGTGGAAACCATCGGTCTCCCGAGAGGTCCACAAGCCGATAGTCGGAACCCAGCTCCACCAACATGTTATATTTCAACCCATTTTCTAAAGTGCAGAATTTTGTTAAATGCATTAGGTTTTACCCTACTACATTTAAATTTCATGGTTAAACACTACATGTTAAAATCTAAGCTCAGCTTGGTAGTGACGTAAAATATATAAATATAATTTTACTTACCGAAAAAAATGAAGGGGAGACTTCTTGGATGCTCTATTAGTGCAATTAATACCACAGCAAGTCATTTTGCCCAACAATTGCACAAAAAATATCCAAAAAAGAATACACAAACACAGAGACTCAAAATCCCGGAGCAGTTTCCAAGCCAGACCGAGCCTCTACTGAGGCCTTTCCACGGAGCTAGCTCTGTGGTCACGTGGGTCTGATGCTCATTAATTATACAGAATTTTAGGCTTTTAACACACTTAAACAGAAGAGTGAGAAAAAAATTCACCCCCCTCAGAGTTGTCATGAGTGTAAACTAGATAATTTAAACAAAAAACATGTTTTGGTACCAGGCTGTAAACATGTTTATTTCTGCTGTGAAATTGGTATTTTTAACATGGGAGTCAATGAGGATTTGCTAGCTTCTGACACCAGCCCCCAGCGGATGAGGGTGGAACTGCAATTTTTCTTACTTCGGGGTTGTCCTCAATTTTAAAGCCGCATTGTGGGGGCCTGTTCTCAACTCACCACAACCAGTTGCACAAGCACCGCAGCCCCTCCTGCTGTCCCCATCGCCACCAACCCAGCCGTCGCTGTGGGTGACACAGGCCTGAACAGTAGCGCACCGTCCCAACCCACTGCTCTTGTTTTCCCCAACCGCCATTTTGGGAAGAACATGCGCTCATTTTGCCCTGCCTGGTATTGTGAGAGACCATGGCTGGAATATTCAGTAAAGCAGGATGTGTGCTTTTGTTTCCCATGTCGCAAACTTGGGGGGAACAATGATAGGGATTTGACTTTCACAAAACAAGGATTTAATAATTGGAAAACAGCACTGGAAAAGGACAAGGGATTCACAAAGCACGCATCAAGTCAATGCCACATCAAAAATGAAAAAGCTGGTCTGAAATGTCCCAAAGAGTGGCCACAGGAGAAACAATAGGTAATTTAATAAGTCCCACTCAAATAAAAAAAACAGATACTATGTAAAAACTATTGGAGAAGTAGTTCAGTTCCTAGCAGTAAATGAACTAGTGTGGAAAGCTCCAGTTGTGATGATTTCTCTGCAGGACTATTCTTACAAATGGTCGACTACACACTGGCCAAAGACTCCAAATTTAATTAAATAAACAAACACATCACAGAAAATGCTAAATACACCTCTCACAACATACAAAACAAATTATTGCAACACTGGCAAAAATGGTATTAAAAAAGATCAAAGATAATTATGACAAAGCAGATTATGCTGGGTTTTGCATTAAAAGTGATGGAACTAGGGACAGATGCAATGTGGAGAATCAGTCAGTCATGGTTAGATTGGTCTGTAACAGCATTCCAGAGGAACACCTGATCAGTCTGTTAGACCTCAGTCAGTTAAATGCTGAATTTATTACCACCCAAATTCTTGAGCATCTCTCTGACTCAGGCTGAAATGATCAGTCAGTGCTATGACCGAGCTTCTGTCATGAGTGGGCTCAGAGGTGGGGTTCAGGCCTTACTGCAGAAGAAGGTAGGGAAGGATATTCCCTACATCCACTACTACAACCACCAGCTGCACTTGGCAGTGGTCCATGCAATGCAGGCAGAGCCATGTGGAAAACCTTTCTTGGTCTATCAGGATCTCTACACTCATTTTTCCACCGTCATTATGTTCCCTCCCTGAAACGACTGTTGGAGATCAGGTGGACAAGCCACCATGATGTGACCAAGTGCCTTGTGGAAAATCAGGATGCTATTATGAGTATCCTGTCAGAGGTTACAGAGGACAGAGCTGCTGCTGTTGATATCTGTACAGAGGCATCAGGACTGTTGATGATGTTAAGGAGGCACAATTTCTTTGAAATAGGAAAATTCTTCCTAAAAGTTCTGGGTTCCTTGGTGTCTGCAAATTCTATGCTGCAGTCTCACTCTGTTGACCTGTGCTGTGCTTCAGAAGTAGTCAGTGCATCTCTGCAGGCTTTGAAGCAGATGAGAGAGGAGTAAAGTGAGACATGTTTACATGCAGCCAATATCCGGGTTATGATCGTGTTATGGTCGGTATTCGGGTTTCTGAGTTGATGAGAATAACCCGTTTACAAGCAAGAGTTAACCCTAATTTGCATAACCCGTTTTCAATGCGGACGTTGGGGTAGCGTCAGGACGTATGGACGACGTCAAGACGCAATATGCGTCATTTCCACTTCATCTTGTTCCGGTATCCATGAAAACAACAACATGTTTCCCAGTTCGGAAGAGATAGCGAGCGCGTTTGTTTGCGCTTTATTGCTGGTATTGACCCACCAGCAGCTCTTACAACGACTGTGCGTACTGGCCTTCATTCGAAGGAGAGTACGTGAGCAAGAAATTGCAAATATAGAGAGAGCTGCGCTAAACATATCCAACATATCGACGGTACCCGTTACCAGAGCCCCGCGGACACTTTGGATGAAGGTGCGCAGTCAGGACTGGTGGGAGCGGGTTGTAATGATGGAGTTCACGGACACAGATTGGCGTGAGAATTTCCGTATGTCACGTCAATCTTTTGCAAAACTTTGTGGTATGATGGAAAGAGTGATGGAGCCCAGTGTAGTAACCATCCGCGCACCAGTGCCTACAGCAATGCGCGTTGCCATGGTGCTGTATAAACTAGCAAGCTGTGCAGAGTGTCGTTTGATAGCAAACCAATTTGGAGTGCACAAGAGCACCGTGAAGAAGATGGTGTACCTATTCTGCCACGGAATGGTCGACTCAAGTCATCAAAACACTGATCCGGGTACCCACTTTGGAGGAGGCATGTGGCATTGCACAAAGATTTGAACGTGCCCACTCCATTCCTCAAATCATAGGTAAAATATTTCCTGCTCTTATGTCTTGTTAATGTCAGTAGTTTTCTGAGAGTAGGCTAAATGTGAACTATACTATGTATGTAGGCTACACTGCTGTGTGCATACTTTTTCGTTTTTTTTTTTACTTTTTATCATAGGTTGTGTGGATGGGAGCCACATCCCTTGCTTGCCTCCAAGTGATGGCTACAGAGACTTCATAAACAGGAAGGGATGGCCATCCTATGTCCTCCAGGGAGTCTGTGATGACAAATACTGGTAGGTGTTTTGCCATTCCCAGCTTTTGTATTCATGATTATGATTTGTATATAATGTTGACAGACACACATCACTAATCTATATTAGAACCACTCACAAACATCAATTGAGAGGTTCTCTGTTAAAAAAAAATCACAGCTTATATGTACAAATAATTATGTCATTACTGACCTGAAATAATTTTCCTAACTTTTTGCCACTAATCACACCGCTCCCACTACATCTTGATTCACTGTGATACATTTTCCATAGTTTTTGGAGTGTGAGCTGCAAAATGCCTGGTTCAGCACATGACGCCAATGCACTCCGCCAGTCCAATCTGTTCAACAATGCACAATCCTTCCCAAAGGTGGGTAATGCATTAAAACTTTTGGTATTTAAATGCAAGTTGGATACCTGCCACATATCTAAGATGTATTATGACATAATTTAGGAAGAATAATATTTCTATCTGTCCCACTTTAGAGAGCAGTGCAGATCGAGGGGCAGGATGTGGATTTCTTCCTGCTGGGAGATCCTGCGTACCCGCTGATGCCCTGGCTAATGAAGGGCTATCTGCAGTCCCCAAGACTGACACCACAAGAGGAAAGCTTCTACGTCTATTTGAGTTCTGCTAGAACAAGTATAGAGATAGCATTTGGTCGACTGAAATCTCGTTTCCGTGTTCTGTTGAAGCGCAGTGACTTCCATTTCACTTTCACACCATACGTGGTAGCAACCTGTTGTGCTCTACACAACTTTTGTGAGATGGAGAAGGAGCACGTTAATCCCAGATGGGCAGAGGAGGCCACATCAGTAGAAAGGCCTTTTCCACAGCCTGTGTCACAGGTTAATAGGGCTGATAACAGTGCAGCCTCAGCTATCAGACGGGCCCTAACAGATGACCTTGCTGCACGTGTCCCACTCCGTAAGCGCTTAGTAAGAGCGTGAGTGTGCAGGACGAACGGGTCTGATAGGAAACAAACAACTTTAAACTGTAAGCTCGATACTTTTCAAAACGCTTTATTTTCTAAGTTTTAAAATATGTTTATCTGCCTTCTCCTTTGTTGCTGTGCACCTCTGAAAAAGAACAGGTATATGCAATGTTCAAATAAAATGTCAACACATACAAGTTTTCTAGTAAGTTTAATAAAACATTTGTTCTTTAATAAAGCACACAACAAAATAACATTGTGGTTTTGCTTTTTACATGTGAGGTAAAACTGAGGTTCAAGTAAGGCGCTATGGAGCACCTATCCTGCCATAATGGAGAATAAATACATAAACTACTATGGCAGGACAAGGCTCGAGATATAAACATATTGCACATATGTGGAACAAAGAGTTAATGAAAATGTTTGTTACATAATAAAAAAGGTGTACAAAAGGTGCAAAAAAGGTGCAAAGTGTAAACTTTTCACAAAAATAATTTTCAACAACATACTTCCTACGAACTGCACAAAAACAACTGTCTGTCAAATCGATGAATGGATTATAAGGTGGGACACTACAGTTGGCAGAATGGTGTAGAATCTTGGTCCTCGCTGTGATCATGTTCAGGCTGATTGTTATGAGAATAGGGAAATCGATGTGGAGGAGCAGGTGGTTGCCTGTTATCAAAATGGTTGTTGTATGGCTGAAACATAGGCTGGGACTGAGAATTACTAAATATGGGTTGAGGAGTTGGCCGCTGGAATAATGCACTTAACCCTGTGAGGAGTTGGGTAACAACAAAACCCATTGAACGGGTCGATTCAGAAATCATTTGAGACATGAGTGCCTCATCACTGGCATGTCTCAACTGCCTTTGCTGCTCAAACCATTGGTTCTTTGTGTGCTGCATTCTCTCCATGAACTGTTGATGTTGTGTAAGTGTAGCGGCTCCACGGTGCCTGGACCTGCGACTTGACCCACCTAGAGCAGACATGACAGGCCTTAGAAAGTGTTGGGTAAGTTCTCTCTTAGTGTTCGACTATTATCACTTTTTGCATTCTTATGAAACTTGTGGATTCTAAAAGATATTTCTTTACCTTTAGGTGACATGTCAGAATGTCACCTGCGCCTTCGTCATAAACAAACATGTTGAGCGTTGCAGCATCAATCGCGTATGAACTCGAGGAAAAGAAAGATGGGACCAAAAGTGCTTTCTTCGTGTCTTTTATTTAGAAACTGCGACACACACATCTGAACGTCCACACCGGAGACTCCATTCTCCTCAAGCAACTGTTACGTAAAGACGCAGTGTGCGTGCCCCCCTAGTGGTGAATAACTAAAAGCACAACCTGCTTAATAACACCAGTTTACACAGCTTAGCACATGAGTTCACAAATTTGAACATCTCAACACCCCCTCTTGAACTCATGTTGCTCAAGTCTTCAAAAAAATAATAAACAAACAACCCTATTGGTTTTAATAACTTGTTTTCCCCCTCTTTGTCTCTTCTAAACACCAAACATAATACCTGCAAACTTTCCAAGTTTTGACCTAGAAACAGGCTTGGTCATAATGTCTGCAGCCATCTCTTCAGTAGTGCAATATAACAGAGACATCTTTCATCCTAGTAGCATCTCCTGTGTAACTCAACTTTTGTTCACATGGAGTTTCCCTGGGCTTACAGTTCTCCATGTTAAACCTTGTCAGTATTTTGTTAACATGTTTCTTGTGACATTGTCACACATCCATCAGACTGAGTGAAATCAATACCCAAAAAATGCTCAAGTCTGCCCAAATCCTTCATCTTAAATCTGGTTGAGAGCATATTTTTCACTCCTTCCATTTCTTTTTCATTGCTTGCCGCAATTATTAAATCGTCAACCCAAATAATCAGAACTATTTTTCCTTGTTCACAGTGATCTGCGGGGTTTTGCTTAAAATTGTTTACAGTCAAGTTATCGTGCAGGATCTTGTTCCAGTTTTGACCGGAATCCTTTAACCCATACAAGGATTTCTTTAATTTACACACCAAACCTTCCCCTTCTTCATAACCTTTTGGCTGATCAACGTAGATTTCATAGTCAATAGGAGCATGTAAATACGCTGTTTTCACATCCATTTGGTTGAGTAACAGATTCTCCTGTGCTGCTTTCTGCAGAAGAACTCTTATGCTGGTCAGGTTAGCGGTTGGAGAGAATGTCTCGCCATAATCTATTCCCATTCTCTGACTGAAACCTTGGGCTACAAACCTTGCTTTGTATCTGTCCTGTCCTTCGTTGTCACTTTTGACTGAATAAACCCACTTTCCTCCCACAGTTTTCTTTCCTTTTGGTAAAGTGGTAAGAGTGAAAGTGTTGTTTTCTTTTAAAGATTTTACTTCTTCATCCATAGCTTTTACCCATTTCTTGGAGTTAACTGATCCCATAGCTTCCTCAAATGTGTTTGGGATGCCACAAACTGCTCGGTAACAATAGTCTATTGTAGTATAAACCTCATCGCTACCACAATGATCAGTTATAAAATCCTTTAGGTGACTGGGTTTTCTTTTCTCCCTAGTAGGATTCCTTCTAAAAACAGGTACTTCTTCTGCATCTGACACTTTTGGTTCATGCTCATCTGGTATGTCATTTTGTACATTTGTATCACTTGTCGTTTCATGAACTCCCTCATGTTGTTCATCTTCATCTGAGTTTGTGTCTGTCATAGGTTGTTCTACACTGGTATAATCCTCATTTATTTCTGTCTCATTTGTCTGTGTTTCTCTCTCCACATTTTCTTTTCTTATAAACTTAACCAGTCTGTGCTTTTGAACAGTTTCTGTATTCTGTAAAAGAAGATGGATTGGACCCGCTGGTACTGTTATGTTTCTTCGCCTTGTAGTAGGCCTTTTTCAGTGTCTTCCAGCGATACTTGACTTGGTCTGGTGTCCTTACAAACCCTGCTTCGCGTAACTTTTCGGTTACCTTCTTGTATATTTCGCTGCCTCTGTACTTTCGGCCGTCAACAAAAGACATAACATTCATATTTTCACCAGACCGATGAAGACAGAGGTTTCCTCGTCACACCAAAAGTGTGGTGCTGTGCCACGACTCGCCATGTTGCTCCCAACTTGTTTACTTCTGGTATTCTGGCGCATACAAGATGTGTTGCTACTCAAAAGACCAAGATTCCTTGCGAACAGAGCTTGCGCAGAACACACGCTTTGATGGGGATATCCCGATATGCGTTTACACGACCAAACATTTGGGTTAGAAAAGGGTTACCCCAGGTGTAGTAACCGGGTTTTTAAAAGCCCGGTTATGAGCATATCCGGGTTTTTGGCGGTGTTTACATGGACCTGCGGAACCGGGTTATTGTGAATATTCGGGTTTTAAAAGGGTTACTGGCTGCATGTAAACACACTGACTAACCAGCACACCTCCACCAGCTGCTGAAAGACAAAAAAAAAAAAAAAAAAAACAAGCTCACTGCAAAGGGGTGCAGGTAGAATATCAGGGGGTGCAGGTCTGGGACTGGGAAATAATTTTTCGGGTATCACATACCCCCAAATCCCTAAAATGCATAGAAAACTATGCTATCATCAATACAGTTCTTCTATCCATATATCTATCTTTTCCATATATCTATCTTTTCCTTTGATCCATTCCTTACACTGCCTGCCTGCCTGCCTGCTTGCTTGCTTTTATCAGTCATTACAGCATCAGCCGTCTGCTTTCTGTGCAAAAGTCCTAACAAATGAATTCATATCTAGGCCTGTTGTCATGGCCTTCTCGTGAGCCAGAATGACTACATTGCTTTTTCTCTCATGTAGCGTAGTACGGCGGAACGGGGTCAGAACACGAGACAAAGTGGAGAAAGAGCTCTCGCATGATGCTGCTGATATTCCAATCACAAGGGAGGTCACATACATGCGATGGAGCTGAGGAAAGGCATTCTTATACCCATGTAGATATTTGCAAACGGTGGAGAGGCCTACAAACTCTTCACTGTTATCATCATCAGTCTTTATGAATTCTTTCTCCAACATTATTTTTGCCACAAGAATCTCATCGGAAAGTTTCTCACTGCCACTTCCTGTCATTTTCTGCAAAGGACTTAACATGTCAGGATCCAGAAAAGAGGGAGACTGAGGTTGAAGGCAGTGAACTGCTTTCATGAGATCAAGATTGCTTTTGGAGAATCTCGTTTCCATCTCTATGTAGTGGGATTAGTCACCTGCCACCAAGTAATTGGACGACCTATCATTGAGGGAAGGCGCTAATATAAATAGGGCCTGAGGTGGCGCTACAGCGATCTTTACTTTGGCTCAACTTCCGCTTCCTGTGTGAAGTGCCATTGTGTACGGGACTCCGGCGTGTCGGACTGAATTCTTGCATGTGGTCCTCCCAGAGTAACGGAAGGCTTCTCTTTTATCCGGTTCCAAGGCCTCTCCACCCCGCTGCTCGGGCTGGTTAACGGGATCAGCGGAGACCATCGGGAGCGGCTTTTGTCACTCGCTCCTCTATGCTGAATACCAGCAGAGGGCGTACACCCGGTGTGGGTTTGGGTATTTCAACGAGGGGCTGCGGGCCCTACCGGCAGCTGTCGTCGGCCTGGGAGCTCATAAGGACGGCTGAGGCCCAGGCTAATAGACGCGTGTGCAGGCGAGCTGTATGCTTGCTCATTTCCTGACGGCCTGCCTGCTCAGTCGTTGCTGTGTGTGTGTGTGTGTGTGTGTGTGTGTGTGTGTGTGTGTGTGTGTGTGTGTGTGCGCACGCGGATTTGGATTTTCACCGTTCTTTTTGTTTTCTTTCCAGCTCGACCACCAATGTCAGCTGAGAGCTGACATTGGTGGTCGAGCCCTGATGGTGGTCCCATCTGATGGTGTGCGTGTGCTCCAGAGTCACTTCACCCCCGAATGCATGCACGTGTGATTGGGGTGAAATTACTTGTGGTTGGTATTTTTTTTAGAGAGTTAAGTTCCTGTGCACTACCGTATACGTTTTAAAATTTTATTGTTTGTTTTTAAGGCGCTGAAT